AAGGCCTGTAAGGGGCCAAGTTCAGACGTTTGTTAATCGTATGCTCTGCTCTTTTTAGTGTTTGTGTATGCTAATGGTCAAACTAACCTTGAAATCAATTCGGAGTTTGATACGCATCCATTTCACCGTATATAGACTGTATACACGTCTTGTATGAGATGGAATATAAGGTGATTTTCACCGACCCGCCATCGTAAATCCAGACTAAGTAAGTTGGGCTTTATATGCTGGAACTAGGACCAGCTGATTTCGGCAATGCACTCTGTGCTGTTATGGGATGAATGTACTGGCTTTGAATTTACCGGTTGATAAGCAAACGTTTTATCGTGATTTATGACTTTCAATGGGCTATCTATACGAGTGCCACCCAAACAAACGGTATCGTGCACAATGCGTTTTTTCCGCATCCTCAGGCAGTCAAATCAACCCGTCGATCGTTGGTACCCTCTTGGTGTACACTTTATATGCCACCTTTATCAGGCATCAGAACTGTAATACCTTTGTTTCTTAATATAGATTTCTTGCTGTAAGTGAAACCAGTCAATGCTGAAAGGCCCAGGAGCACTGTGCAACTGTTAAATCCTTATCGAATATCGTCTGCAATGCGCACCTGATAAAACTTCAGAGCGTTTCGGGCGCGCAACCTCCCGGGTAGTAGTTTGAACCCTTAAACGTTCGCTCATGCAGTCACGCCTGTTGACTGGCTCATCGAGCAGTGACTTCTCGGAGTGAAGTTTCACTCATCGGGTGTATGTGATTCCGTGATTGAAAGATGAGTGCGGGTTCATCACAGTGCTGAGCGGCCGCTCCTGACCGAACGTCTAAATGCTCAAAGTATTGATCGAGAGGTTGCGGTGTCGAGACTCTCTGAAGTTTCATCATATGTGCACTGCTGACGGTTTTAAATAAGGATGAAATAGCTGAACAGTGCTTCTCGGTTTTTCACCATAGGTTTGCTTCACTTACAGGACGAAATATCCACTAAAATGTCCCCAGATCTCCTCACACCAACAGCAATCTTTCACCTCTCCTTGGCTTATGGAGGAGCAGCCAAAAAGTGAGGATTAGTTTCGAAGTACCATTCCTACATTATCACTAATTCAGTACGTTTGTCACCGAGTTAAGTAGTCTCACTTTTGAGCTCTTCGACATATAGCAACTGTAAGAAAATTCATCTATCTTGAGCATATTTAAAGAGTGATGTGTGTTTCTAGCAGCTGTTATCCAGACGTTACATAGCGTTCATCTATTCTGCACCTGAGTGTCACTTCGAAATGCGCCACACCAAACAATATATTGCTTGTCAAATTGATTATTCAAGACATTCAGTACCGAGTTTATTCAGTTTGCCATGTTGAACTTTGGTTCCCCTCTCTTATATGAAGGACTGGTTCTCAGTCAATGGACGTGATTTTACAAGCTGCAATCATCTTCAAATTATTGCATTACTGGATTCGAGTTCTCCAGTTGGGTCGGTTAGCCCGCGTTGAGAAGACTTTTTCACCGTGCGATTAGGATCCAAGCTCTGCTGCCAGCTTCACCTGACAGCATACACTGATCGGTGTAACTCGTGAGGCCACCAATACAATCTCTGTGTTTCGGTCATGATGTATGAAATCCTACTGTTTACGGATGTTGTTTGACGATCATAGATGACAACTACCATACTTTAGTTTCAGTCGCTGTTAACCACTGTCACGTCAAATGAGCCCTGCCGAATTTTCCCCAAATGTTTTGAGATAACTACTACATGTGACTTCATTATGATCACAATAGATACACTTCGCTTAACCTCATCAGGTTAGAACTATTTGTGGCGTAGTCATAGAAACCCTTCACTGTCACTTTCTGACACAGATATGCAGGCACCTCGGTTGTTAAATAACTTCATTCCGCGTCACTATTTGTTTTGGCTTTACAGGAGCCCTACTTAGAGCGACAGCTCCAATTGCCCTGCCGTAGCTCAGACGTTGGTTTACCTCGTCGCTGGACAACGCGTGACCACCTGTTAGAAACCCATTATTATTGGGGAAACCCTGGACGGCGCATTGCGTTTTCAGAACACCATGATCTGGTTATCTACGGCAAAGATCGAATACCCGCATTCGCTTCTCAAACACAGGTACAGGACCTCTGTAGATTTCGTTCCTTACCAACGAAAACCCTCGGACCAATGTCTCCTTTGATTGATCTGCAGTCCACGTGTTATTATCGAGATGACAGCACAGATGGATGGATTGGAGACGTGGTTAGTTTCCCGCCATTGCGTTAATTTTGTCCCTGCTTCGTTTCCGCCTTTTTGCTTGTGTGCCCATCCAGGCACCCATGTACTTTGACACTATTTAACATACCACTCTGGTTTTCCGTGCACCTGGTATACCGAAACACTCCCGTCAGGCACAGCAATTATCAAGGTTTTGAAAACGTCTAACTCGCTTCCCAAGAGGAACCATGACAAAAACAACGCTATGTCATTGACTCAGAAATTACAGTCACAAAAAAGCCGATGTGGTTTATACTGCTGTCGTGCTATAGTAGTGAATTCTACATAACGTGGGCTGTGTTGCTCAGTATGTAGCGTGAGAGCTTTTGGGAACTTGCGCCACATCTGCTGTACGGACATGAATGCTGAAGTCAGAAGCCCGCGATAGCTTACTATATGCCAATTTCCCAATAATTAGTTCGCAGTATTGAGTCGTGTCTACTTCACATATTTTCTCCTTTTCACCCCTGTTTTTTAAACGTTACTCGTTACCAATGAAATGATTGACGGGAACTGACGACTGTCGGTCAGGATCATGTCAGGGTGCCACTGTGTGCGTCCGTTGTATATGCGTCAAAGCGAAAAATCCATTGCACTTTGAATAAGTTCTACTGAGTTTCCACTGTTAGTTATCATTCTCACTGAAATAAACCTAGAAAGTATTTTGGTGTTCCAGGTGTCTTATCGCAAAACGATAGGCCGAACAAACTGGAGAGGCCCCATCAAGAGGTCAAAAGAAGTTATCTGCTTTTAGGGGTGGTCTCTCTTGTGGGCGGGGAAAACTAGTTTTGCTGATGTTCGCGGGAGATTGTTCTTTCCGAATGATCGGCTCTGTTTAGTGTGCATCGCTTATAAGATCTACAGATTTTAAGCCGCATTTCCATGCAGTAAATTCTAATTTCAGCTTGCTTCGAAGTTAGTTGGTGAGCGTTAGTGCTGTGATTATTACATCAATGTCATCATCATTCATCTAGTTGAATGACTACCTTCCCTTGTTTCAAGTTCCAGGTCGAAATTCTTCTAATTGAAGTAATCACGTCTTTTTTTATGAAAACAACTCTCGGAAAACGGCTAATTCATGTGGGTTCGTGTCTCCTGAATCAAGTGTGGTCATGTCCCAATAAGCTTAACCACGTGGGACGTCTTTTATTTTTTGAGGTCCATCAGGGGAGGGGGCGTCAGATACAACAAGCCTTGCTTAATTGATCTTTTGAGGACTTGCCCACTTTTTGGTAGAAATATCCAACCTCAAAGACCGCTACTTGTTAATTAATGGGTTCTACGTGGAGGCCAACAATAAGAATCAATGCTTGATGAACTTTTCTGAATTTATCTAGTCCTCCCCATTTTTTTCATTTTCAACCCCCTGTCTTGATGAATCAGATATGCCTTTCTGTTCTTACCTTTTCTAGCCAAGGGTTTTCCCGTATCCTCACCTGATTACGGTAAACCTCAGCTTGCCAAGCGTCTGGTCCGATTTTTTGGAACCGGAAGCTGACCCCGTGACTCCGGAACAACGACAGGCCGGAGCTCTCATGCATTGTTTCGCCTCAGCTTTGGCTCATGCCCATAAATCTGGTTTACCCCCTGGTCCATTGCAGACTCCAGTTTGCCTCCAAGCTGTTTGTTCCGATGGCGTCTATTTCGACTTTGTCTACTTTCAACTGAACACACTGCATTTTCCAGATCCTTCTCAGGAGTCTCAGTCCACCAACACTGTGTTGCGCAACCTGGCTTGGATTGATGGGAATCACCGACTGTTCGATAAACAGATTCCGAAACGTAGCTTGTTGCGGAATACTAAATACCGAGACCTAGATATCGGGGTTTTCTCACGCCTCGCCACTACTTACTTATGGGGTTTGGTTGGAGACAGGTGTGTAAACGAGTTGGAGACACCTGATATCCCACAATCCCTGACTGCTTCGGCAAGCTAGCTAGTCAGTCCTGCATTTATCATTGTTCCCTTGAACACAACCACTTTACATATGGCTTTCTGTTGACTTTTTTTCTGCTACGCGAATGGGAAATGGTACACTAGCACTGCTAATCAGTCTGTTGACAAACTGTATCTTGAGATCTCACGCAACCGAGTTTGTCAGATTAGGAACAGTGTATTTTCGATGCTCAAAATTGGGATGGGTTGGACCTACAAACAGCGAGTAGAACAATTTGAAATGAATTTTTGCCCTTGGAGACATTAGGGACCGGACCAAGAGATACGATTCACAGATATCGGTGCCGAACCGGACACTGACTTTACGTAAACTAATGTTCGGTGAGATAGCGTATTGGAAACATAAATGAATTCTTTTGGTTCGACGTTTAAAGAGTCGTTTGTGTGCAGCAAACTTTCTAAGCAAAGCTTGCAGGTGGTAAAGTCTAGGGGGATAGTTTTATCTGCAGTTATCTAATGATTTAGGTGATCAGTAATCAGCACGTTATATGCCCCGAACATGGAAAATTGCAGCCAGTGTGTGTATTCTGTCACAAATTTAGCAGTGAAACCATGCAGCATATAAGGATATCTTATTCTCGGGAACTGTCCTTGTTCAGTGAAAGCTGATTCGACATAAATGTACCAGGAAAGGTTATAGAATCAAAGGCCAACCACGTACCTAGCAAAGAAAGGATTAGTGCTTGGACTTGTCCGGGGAGTAGTGGTGACTAATGATGTAGGAGTCGGTGCGGTTTCTATACCGTCCCCAGACGTTCGGGTAGACAAATTGCTGAAGGAACCAGGTGATCAGAGCGAATGTATAATATGTTATAGGTGGGAGTAGCTGGAGCCATTCAAGTCATAAAGAAAGGAACAACGGCCAGCTTTTCGAAAGCCGCCAGGTTCTCATTGTCAGACGTTACTGTTTGACGTAGAATTAATGACGTAAAAGACCACGTTGTATACGAGACCAACGCACTTAGTTTAAATAGAATTCTAATTAGTAAGCCCGCTGTCATGGCTTTCGCTTCTAACTGCCTCGGTTTACAGGAATAATCCATAGACATTTCAGAGGGGAGCTTCCCCTCTGTTGTCTCGAAAAAGTCACTAAGACCCCAGGTATTTTGTTGATGGGATGTTGTGTCTTGGAAACAACGGTATTCATTAGGATGAGGCTTACGGATAGAGGGTCGACTGTGTTAGTGCTCCGAGTTTCCACAAAAACAATTTAGGTAAGTGAAGACGGCACGAAGGACACCGTACTTCGACACGCAATAGTCTCGCGACTGAAACTTAAGTTGCGAGTTATGAAAGAAGAGGTTCTAATCTATGAATGTGTATTTATTGACTGGATGCGAAACGCAATCCGTTCCTATTCCGCACAGCCTGTAGCTAGTTTCCAGACAAGAAGTGTGATCGAGCAGATCCTCAAAATCACCAATGATTTGGATTCATTTCTTAAAGAACTCGACAGAGTTGGATGTTTTGCACGCTACCAACTTTTAAACACCCTAAGGTCAGGCAATTTATTTTCTTGAGGGACCACCACTCACCCAGTTGCCGGAAGTTCCACGACGGGAAACTAATGAGTAGGCTCCGTCAAGAAAGTATGCTGCGATGTCTCGCATATCGCACCAACTGAAACGTACGACGGTCTCTGTGCATTGCATCCAGTTGAAGAACAATGCAAACGATAGATTCATTTGTGACCCGGATGAATCACTTTTAAAACCAACTAAGTTTGCAAATGAGCGTGCTTCCTAAAGCTTGCTAGCCCTCTACCTAGTGACCGCAGGGTTCTGATGTTTTTTTATTTTCTACCCACTGCGTGTGGGCGATTATTATGTGACTTGGAGTATTTTTCTCAGGAGAAAGGTGATCGGTTACGGTATGCACACTGAGAAACAGTCACTCCCTTGGATCAATTCCGCAAGCGCACAGTGAGAGAATAGCACCAACACACAAACGCTCAGTATGATCACATAAAAAATAACCTATGATGGTTAGCGAACATCGCTTACCCATGCAACCCCCGGATCCGCAGAGCGTCGAAGCATCAAGGTTTATCGATTCAATTTGATGGGTTGCGTAAGATAGCCCATATCGCGTAGATCCTGAGTGGTCCATTAATGTTACGACAGCGATCAAGTCAAGCTAAGAAGGATTATGTGATTCTGTCAATGCTGAATAGTCTCTTTGTTTTCAAACCGGCTCTTGCGCATCCGGTCCCGTCTTTCGTACGTCCTGACTAGTTGAAAAGCGAGGAGTTTGCTCGCCCTTAGCCTACAATGATGAACAGGAATTCACCTTTGTGCAATGTGGAATTTCCTGAGCATCCCCATGTACGTCTGTCTGGCGGGGAATCCTGAAGGCAACACAAAGCGACCACAAAATATCAAAGATGTGGGTTGGAATTTAGCATACGACTTGTAAATTAGGTTGAGACACCTCGATTTGACCATCCGACCGGCGTGCTGTCTGACTCCAGTAAGAAGAAATAGCTTCAACTGCTTCATGGTTTCCGAAATAGGTTAATTACATCACTCAAAAGGTACGTGAACATCTGTGAACAGTGGACTAATTCAAAATAATAGACTGGGAGATCCCTTTCTGTGTTATTCCAGGTGCACAGCTCTCCACTCTGCGGACAGTTTTGAAAAAGTGCCATCAGTTAACTGATTCGAATCAAAAAAGGATGCCATGCGAAAATTACCAAGGTCATCGTCCGTTCTCAGGGCAACGGATGGAAAACCTGCGGAACACCTTTCAAGGTGCCAGCACCAAACGGAGCATCTGTTCGCATTCCCAGCGTGTACAAACGTATTCAATATAAATCGATTTGCAATACTCATCTGAATAAATCATTTGGACCGAGTGGACACAAATTAATTTAATTAACACGACACACGGGCTTTTCTCCGCTTTCGTAACATTAAACAGCATTGATTTAGAGTATATGATGTACATTCCTGGACTGAAAAGCGGTCTTTTCCAGATAAGTCCCGCTACTAATGCAAAAAAGCGCATGTGCGAAAAGTTAAGCCCCGCCACCTTTTCATGTAAATTATTAATGACATTTCCCAGTTGCACCCTCTTCAGTAAAAACTAAAAGTACAAATTTTATATCCTCTTTTTTTTAATCTTTTTTTGGGTGACGGAGGTTAATTTTTTGGTGGGGCTTATCTGGAAAGACCTCTGAAAACTACAAGGGTTAGTCATTCAATGGGATCGATTCACATGCGAGTAAAGCAATATATAGCATTCTAAGATTAATTGCATATCGCTGGGTATGCTTGCGGTAAGAGGTTTACGCTATACGTAACGGTTTCTTAAATACTATGAACGACACGTCTCACCGGGGGGTTTGAGGGCGTTTTACATCCGAAAGTGGAAAGTTAAAACAAATGGTCCAAGTAAACACTTGCCGTGTTGTCAAATGTTTTCTTCAGTAAGGGTTACTGGTGGTCCATTGTGTGAAAGAATTTGGAACGAATTACATGACACTGTGAGCTAGTTGAAAAGTTTAAAAACGGACGACAGCCAACGAGGATGCATCGGAGACAGGTGGAGAAATTAAGTACCCTAATAGATTATCTCGGATTTTATGTATCGGTTTAGAGTCGTACAAGGAAATAAACACAAACAACGAAACACAGGACCAGGATTATTATTCTTTGTGTAATTCAACCTTCAGGATACCAGCCACCCACATTACACGGTTGGTCACTGACGATAGGGTTGTGTAGTACGTTTGTAGTGCCTTTTGAAGGTCAAAGTGTTGCGGAGCAGGAGGCCATTTCTGCTAAATGACCTGCCGACTGGTATTCAGAGACGTCTATTATGTCCTGTTCTTGCTGTGTGCGAAGCGCTACTCAATCCATCCGTCAAACTCGATATTTTTCCATCCAGCTCAGGCAGTTCATTACTTAGTATTTAGTGTAGTAGCCCTACGTGAATGTCATCGGCTTTGATCTTGAAGCCCATCAAATTTGTGACGAATTTAAGAAGTTCAAAGCTAGTGCACAAATAGGTTCATTCAACGCTATGCAACGGTCTCTATTTTTGAAAAAGTTCTTTGATTATTGATTAGGCGGGTTAGTGCTTTGCGTTATCGCAGAATATTCACGGTTGTTTTGCGTGGCATACTAAAATGTGTCGAAAGTCTGGCAAGCAACAGCATGCTGCAGTATTTTTTGAGTTTCCTGTGCATCGAGCTCAACGCAAACAGACAGCATAAGGGAGAAGTGTTGTGTTTATTTTACGATTACTACTTGCGGTTAACTTAATCTTCCGATTTGGCACAACCATATATTTTGTTAGTTTCCCCTACTATGCTTAGACTTGGTCAGTCTGTAAATTTGACCTCATCCCTAACCATAAGGTCGTCTTATTTGGCACCCGATCACCTTGGAAACGAATGTAACCGTCTTGTCGTTACTCGAAAATGTATCTAGCACCAAAAAACTCGAAAGTCCACCTCACAAGTTTTCCATCGTGGTCTTTGGTCTAAGATCAAGCCGTGCCCTGGGAACGACTGGGTCTTCGTTGGAAATTTCGGTGTTGTCTCTACAACTTATCACTTTCAAGCAGAATCTCACGGGACCAGAGTAGAGTATTCTTAGCGAGGAGGGGATCTCTCGTGGGGTGGGGCGTGTTAGGGAGATCACTGTGTTTGGTTTCGTCTTTCTGTTTTTTTGGCACTCCACTCCACCACAAAAGTGTTCTCACAGGCTCCCTGGCGCTGTTTATTGATGTCTTTGTGTTGCCTACTTATCATTGCTACCCAAGAGTTATGGTGTGTTGCCGGCATGCTGTGCATTCAACGAGCATTCCAGACAGCTACACATTTCATTTTCAGTATACGCATTTAGAGTAAGTGCACGTGACCTGTTCGTTGGTCGCACAACCGTTTGCTAGATGCAGAGCAACGAAAGCCAACTGTTCAAGCTGAGTGGAGAGAGCCGATTGGCTTACTGTGTTGATTCGTAAGAATAACGATAATGGTAGCGTGTCGCTGCGTCTTGCAAGAGAGTTGCACACAATCAATATGTGTCACGAAACGAACTGAAGGCTTCAGGTGGTGTGTTAATACGAAGAAGAGAAGCTGTCGGAAATTCTATAGGAGTTACAGTGCCAGAATCCTGGAAATTACCACTACGGCATCATGCTATTTCCAGCAGCCCAATAAACTGGATGACATACAAACTGTGCTGAGCAGTAATGGATCCCGAACGACATAAGTCCCTTATGGAAGAACTCACCTCGATCACCACAACCGTCGAAGAAAGGCGAAAAATAGGCCATGAGGTTTTGCGACAGTAAGTTGAACCTGAACTGTCGGTGACATTTTTCGCAAACCTTTTATTCAGTAGGTACACATATGAGGCTAAATCCAGGTAAAAATCTTTTCTGGCTGATTCAGATACTCCAGAAAGAAATTGGTGGAATTGGCCACGAGGAATCCATTGAGAGAGACGGTTGACATTTTCAAGCTATAGATTTACATATAGGTGTACCTTATCTTCGTTGTGCTTTCACTTGCTACAAAGGCAAGATTTTGTTTTCTTCATGTCCCTTGTCATAGCATTACTGTTCAGATATCCGCCGTCCGACAGCGGTCATTTTAATTGGGCTTGTGTCTTTACAACCAATCCCGTAGTTCAGTACGCATTACCGTGACAGTCGGTATGTTATAGCAGTGGCACTTTTGTCGTGTTGAACATTCTTGTCACTACCACGATATTTGTAATGCAGCCTCAGGCAGTGGCCATGACTGAGCACCGATCGGATAGCGTACAATTATCTTCCTCACTTCACGAATGAAACGGTATCCTAATTTTCACTTGACCATACCTGTCGAAGTCTGCGTTGTGGCTCCGGTCAATGTGTTCGCGTATTCAGACGGCTTACATAAGAGAGGTGATTTTCAGGGACGATCAAATGACGTCGGAGAATGCGACACGTCTTAACTTATTGCGAATGTGACTGGTTGTGACTTTGTTCACAAGTAAACATGTTTGTATAAATCTATGCAAATCGTGTGGTGCATCAACACTGGCTATCACCACTGCTGAAACATTTCCAAAACCATGTATCGATGGAGCGGTTAGACTGAAGTTCTTTAAAAGGACAAGAGGAGGAGGAGGACTACGTCCAAGACTCACTTAACCGAACCCATGAGTATGTGACCCGGTCGATCATGCTGGTACGGGCATACATACATGGTTGCAACAACACTGACACTAATGATATTCAAGATGATATTCAAGTTCTGGCGTAGCAGAACTTCGCTGGAACGATGCAGTGATGAAACGTGAACGGGCTATGGTAAACGAGAACCGCGTTATTTTCGCGGAACGTAACGTTCGTAAGCCAAAGAAGTTTTGGGGAATCGGAATAGGAAAGCAGCGAATATAGCACCGTGAAGGAATCCATACGAACCACGTTCCTAGTTCAGAGAGTTCACACCAGTTTCCCTATGATAAACAAACACGAGTACCACAGACAGGATAACGTGAAAAAACGGGGTCGTTAAAATATTTGCCAGATACTGAGCTTGCCCAATATGGAGCACTGTAACAGGACTCCGGATTATTAGTTTAGTGATATGAAACCGATGGGTTAGATGCGAGGCCCTGTAAAAGCTAAGCCACTTTATTGCATCACCGTTGCTTTCCGTCAGCCTTTCTAAACATGGGTAGAGATATTGTTGTGGGAATTAGCTGTATTCAATAAAATGGCCTCCTCAATCACTCGGGGAAAAACTGAGGTGTCATATTTTGATCATGGTTATCGTGCAGTATTGCTAGCTTTGGCATTGCTAAATCTGGCGGGTTGGCGAACTATATTCCGTTTCCCTTAAATAGCCTCATTTATCACGACAGCCAATGAGTTACTCGCACATGACATTGTCCATAAAGTAAGTCGTCAGTTACATTATATAGGCAACTTACCTCGTAATGCCAAGTACCCATGACATTCTTTCTCCCTTCAAGTTTTTCTCTAGAAGTTTCCGTGCAATATACAATAGTTACTCATCCTATGGATCGTCGGGATCGCAGGTTCCTCCTCGGCAATAATGATGCTTTTGTCCCAGAGTTTCTTTTGTGCTTTATTTCCCATAGATACTACCCTCAACTGTTCCGGACTTCGGATCGCCCTTTGGCTATTGGGTCATTGTTCATAGCTAGCTTCTAGAGCATAACATGGGGTTTTTTGTTCTTCGGTAAATGACTGACAAGGTGACTAAATCAGGACCATGTGCGTGAGTGAACGTAAATACTGAATTATGAGAACCGAGATGCCTAGTGTGAATAGGATACTTCTCCCTAATGTAGCTCGAGATACTACAAACCTAACTCGACTGGAGCGGATATAATGAGGGTTCAAAGTTCTAATATCTAACTCATTAAGCCATCAAACATTTACCAGAGTTTTTTTCTGCAAGTAAAGCTGATCTGCGTTAAGAAGATGAGGAACTCTACAAAGCCTTCCACCAATACTGTGACTCATCGGCAGTGCTTAGTTCACGAATCTCAGATGGAATTCATGCCCCAAAACATTGACCAAGCAGTTGAACACTACACTGATAGTAGATTAGCTCTTCACTACACAAAGTTATTGGAAGCCAAAAGGGGTTTCTAGGGTGATACGGTCTGGTTGGCGTACTGAGTTCGCTTCCCAGATAGTTCCCCAGCAGGATAATTTAGAATGGAGGGGCAGTTAGGTAAAAATGATCCATATTTGGCCCTCCGAATGAAGCTTTTGGGACCGACAAAACTGGGTTCTGCATGCCACTTGAGCTGACATTAAAAGTCAATGAAGCAAGATGCCCTAATAGTATAGTAGCCATTTAGCAACAATACATCTAAAATCATGTCATTATTTCAAGACTTGTCAGTTTCTGTAGTGTCGCTTTTCATTAGCTGTGGTGTTGGATATGTAAACAACAGTAACGACTTTGGGAAAGGGTGAAATTCCTCAGAAGGTGGGATAATGTTCCAATTTTTCTACAGCACAACGAATAGACCATTCTTGGGTATTGCCTTGCTTGTTTGCTTAGCTGGTCCCATCTCTTGACTAGTGATGAAATGTTTAAAGTCAAACAGTCCAGCTATCCAAACAAACCGATAATCATCTAAACAACCCGAATGCACACTTTTCCCCTGAATAACAACAAAACTTCTGGCCGGTTATTATATGTACAAACTGACGATTGGCCCCATAAGATGATTTACTGCAACAGAAGTGAGAAATCTCGCCAAATATATGGGGAAAATCCATGTGCGAATACTGTTTACTGGCCTTTGTTGGAATATTTCCGGGATGGTCTTGGTTAAAATCATGCGAGAGACCTCCAAACTTCTACCAGGTTAATACCAGACCTCAGGAGAAACTAGCCTTTTTGTGTTCTATTGTGGGAGTCTCCCATAAGATGCATTTGCTTTTTTGTACTACTGTATGGTCACAAGGAGTCTATTCATGATATTAACTTAGCCATTGTGGTTGCCAATGTAGTTAGTAGACTCGTCAACAGATCATTTGGAGGTTTGTGGTACTGTAAAATCCGATGGATCTATTTGGATCCCCGAAATGGCGCTTGAAATGTTGACGGTGCAAATCTTTACAAAACAAACTGATGAGCTGTTTTATTACGATTACTACGGGTTTGCTTTTCGTGCGATGTCTGAATAGGTTTTGTCAAAGCCGTTTGAAGACCGTCAGTATCCTGGTCTAAGAACCCAATAAAATATATGCCATCAGGTGAACGAAATGAATAAGGGAACGATGACCATTCCACCGTGTGTTAGACAACTTTACATACAGGGGCAACTCAGAACGAGGGTTTTTCTACGAAAATTGTCAAGCACCATGTACGTTACCGCACTCAGCATTGAAAACGAGCTGTCTTCATTGGAGACTGCATGTCCCACCATCTTGTTCTTATCTTAATTAGGCTACTAGAATGGTGCGTACTTTTGGGTGCGTACCGAGGAGACATCATACCCATGTTCGAAAATGAACTGGGTTTATTACGCCAGGCATTCAACGGTTAACTCATCATAATACTCCTATTGCAGTACCCCAAGCACAACTGATAGCAATAGGGCAAACAGTCAAAAAAAAAA